ACGAACACACAGAAAACCAAAGGAAGAGAATTTGGCCTTGGGCAAGAGTCTTCCAAGCCAAGGGACCCAAAAAGTTTCATGCCATCCTGAAAAAATGAGTCTCTGTTTCTTAGCATTGAGTGGAAAATTCTTGAGATCACAATGGGCTATGAGAAAGAACCAAGAAGAATAAACACCAGAAAGGAGGAGATGAAAATACCTGTTGTTTATAACATGGTCACAAATCTAAAAGAACCCACAAAATTAACCAGAAAGTTGCAGTTGACCCACCATTTTGGAGCCTGTAGAGGCCTGCTGGGAACAGGACTTCTAAACCGGCAAATACGTCTGGAAGGTTGTGGCCCAAGACTACTTTTGCTGGCTACACACGGGGTCTCCGGAACCAGAGAGAGCACACAGCCCTTCTTAAAACTTAAGGTGTTTATGCTCAGATGAAACCGAATTCTATTTAGGCAAGAGATGTGCCTATGTGTACAAAGCAAAGAACAACACAGTGACTCCTAGAGGCAAACCTAACAAAACCAGAGTAATCTGGAGAAAGGTAACTAACTCATGCCCACAGAAACAGTGGCATGGTTTGTGCCAAATTCCAAAGCAGCCTTCCTGCTAAGGCCATTGGACACAGAATCCATGTGATGCTGTATCCTTCAAGGATTTAATAGCTACTGAAAAGTAAATAAAGTAAAATTGTGAACTTGTTAAAAAAAAAGTTGCAGTTGATTTGAAAGTGTGGGTAAATTCGTCAGAAACAAGGTAACTTCCCCAATAAAAGAGTTTTTCTATAAGCATATGATAATCAGTTAAGCTAATATAATGGGGAGGGAATAATCCTAGTCATAGCAATAAGAGACACACAAGTAAAAAACTTAGATCATCTAATGCTTAATACATGACTCATGTATGTAGAAGAGAACCATAGACCATCCATCTATCTGTAAAATTCTCTAATGGCTCTTAAGTAAGGAGTTTTAATTTTTTTATAACTATTCCTTGCCTCTAAACAATGCTCAAATACTGGAACTGTAACTTGGTATGCAAAAAAATTAGAATTATGTATTTTTCCTGCCACATGGCTAGTTGAATCTAATCGGAAAAATTAAAAATAAAGGCAAAAAGAAAGAGTCCATATGGCCACACTCTGTCCCATCTGTTTCATGGGGACTTTGTCCCCTGGATCAGCCTAAAACCAGATGAGGATCCTGAGAACTCTGAAGCCCCTCCCTCTTCCTGTCCCAAACCCTGTTTGTGCAAAATGACTGCCACCCACACGAGTTAACCGTTACTTTGGACCCAAACTGAGCTTTGCACCCACCCAACTTTCGCAACTCAACTTCAACGTATACTTTGTCCAACGGAAATAGTGGAAAGCTAAACCAACTGATGGCCCCCATGAGGCTGCACCATGAGGGCACAGCGGGGGCCCCCAGGATTCACCAGCAAACAAGGACCCAGAGGGAAAGAACAAAGAGCCAACCTTCAACAGGGGCACAGTTCTGCATACTCTTTCCATTCTTCCTAGCAGTAGCCCAAAGGCTCCTGGAGACCCACAAACTAGCGGGCTACTGACATACTCACCAGTCATTCAGCAGAACTTATTACACATGTCCCAGTACCAGCCTCTGTCCTGGACTCTGGGGTCAAATCTCTACACTTCAGGATCTCAGGGGAAGGGTAACAGGCACCTGATTTCCACATATTGTGGGTCAGCTGCCCCTGGCAAATGGACAGAGGTGGTTCTGACTGTGTGAACTAACAAACTGGCACCAAAACCTTAACAGGTTCCAGTGTCTAAACAATACACTCTAGATCCCAGGCAGTTAGATTAGGGAAACAGGTACCAATCAAAATTTAAGATCCAGGGACTAAACCTTTGTTGTTGTTATGTGCTGTCGAGTCAGACCCGACTCATAGTGACCCCTCCTTGGGTTTCCGAGGCAGTATTACTATGGAAGTAGATTGCCCCATCTTCCTTCCGAGGAGTGGCTGGTGGGTTTGAACCACTAGCCTTCTGGTTAGTAGTCAAGTCCCTTAGGCACTACGCTACCAGAGCTCCCAAAGAGATGGCCTGCCTTAGTGCAGATAAAGCCAAGCCTGATAGAAAGGATTTCTGCCTGTAAAGCCACTATCACCTGCACTAAGGCGCAGGCCAGATTTTTCCAGTTCTGACAATTTAAACATCTGGGATTTAAAATAATCTACCTTCCTTTCTGACTCAGCAAAATCCATTTCCTTCAGGAAGGGTGGTAATTAGGACAGCCTGGAAGGCACTTAGAAGGGCCCTTTCAGGTCAGAATGCTGGGTCTCCTTTCCCTTCTTAAACAAGAACTCTACCACAAGCCTATAAACTGCTTTAACTAAGCCCACCTCTCTCTCTAATGCTAATACTTTAAAACCCCCCAAAAAAATCTACTGAGCAAGAAGCAACAAGCTCAAGACCAGAGGAGACTGGCCCAGTCTGGATGACCCAACTCCATGTCCTGTTCCAGGGCCCCTTGCTCCTAAGTCCCTTTTTTGGCTGAGCACAGAGAACCTCTTCCCTGCCCCTATTCCTTCTACCTCCAGACTGGACCCTGCCCCAGGGCTGCAGAGGATTTGGAGAAGGAGAGAAAAAGATCATTGCAGTGGGATGGACAAAGGACTGGCCCGAGTCTTGCAGATGCCAGCACATGTCCCAGCTCAGTTACTGGTCTGTTGAAGTTGGAGAAATCCCATTCTGGATTGGGGCTTTTATTTCCTCCTCTGCAAAATATGAGACTTGAACTAGACTATCTCTGAGACCTCCTTTCATTGCTAAGATGATACAATTTCTTGCACTACTGCCTGGCTGATGGGCACACCATGGCAGAGAGAATTTCCTATCGTACAGGCTGCTACCACCAGACAGAGAAGAGGCAGGAGACTTGGACACATGCTAGCCAAGAAATGCAAATCAGAGATGAGCAGGTAGGGCCTGATGGCACCTTAGGAGGCAGAAGGAAAGCAAGGAAGAAGCTGGAAATGCAAAAGGTTTTAGCACTGAGTACAGAAAAAATTGTACTACTAAACAGCAATATGACGTAGTATACTAGAGTATCAACCATGCAGTCAGATTATCTGGGTTTGAACCCTACCTCTGCTGCTTACTAGCAGTGTGGGGTGTCGGGCAAGTTCCTTAACCTCTCTGTGAGTCAAGTGCCCCAGCTATAAAGTCGAGATGAAGAATGTTGTGAGGTCTCAGAAGGAGTAATGTATGTAATAAAGCACGCAGTGCCTAGCACACGGCAGCTCACTCTTGAGTGTTGGCTTTTGTTACATTAACATGTTTTACTATTACTATTATTACTAACGCAGATAGGATACATGGATTCCAGGCTCTGCTTTCTCACTAGTTACTTTGGGATTCAGTCTATGCACTTGTAACAGGAGAGACTAGACAAAATCAGTTTCTAGACTAGGACCTGTATGTAGCTACTGTTGAAGGGTTCCACGTTCTCTAAGAGGATGTTGAGTATTTTGTGTTTTCATTTTGTTTCCTCCTCTGTAAAATATGAGACTTGGACTAGGGACCTTCTAAATAAATTGTCATAAACATATGTGTGCTTTCCGAGTGCCCACTTTATAACCAAGTTCTGGCACAAGTTTCCAGGGCCCAAGTCTATATTTGTGTTTGTAGCCTGGGCTGGCACCAATCTAATTGGAGCAGACTAACGAGAAAGGAACAGATGCAGACTCAATTATGAATGATGACATTGTGCCAAATGAAAGCCAAATGACATCAAATGGAAGTTGTTCAAATAGAAAAACGGCTGGAGAACTGAACCACTACCGCATTGTGTTGTAGGCTGGCCAATCTCGAAAGGATCAGCACCGTCCCATTCACTACCCTGGTCATGTTGCAGCTTATCATCTGCTCTCAACATCAGCTGTCTCACATTAGAAGTGTGAATTTCAATTATATCACTTTTGCAATTTTGTTTGCATTTAATTTATAAATATATATGGGTCATACAGCTGTAGAGCAGCCTGTAAGCACAAGTGGTTTATGTCTAGTTCACACCTGTACATATTTAAGTAACATGATAATAAAAAGAACTTAGCGAACACAAGGGAACCTTGACATTTTTGTTCTTCTGTAGAGGGACCAAGTGTTACTGCAGTTTAAGAACCACTGAACTAAATTACCTGCACATCTGGTATAGCCCTTTGAGTCTAAGAAAGAGGATCATTTTGATTTCAGACATGTTGAGTTTCATTAAGACTCCCCAAGTGGGGATGCAGGCTTAGAACTCAGGAAAAGAGCAGGAAACAGACTACTGAAAGGTGTAGCTGAACCCAGGAGACCAGATGGGAACACTAATGAAGGGTGTTCAGAGACGGAAGCAAAGAACTGACGTCTGAACTTCCAGGAGTTCACCATACCTCCACCACTCCATTTTCCTCTCTGTAAAAACAGTATTCACCTGTGTACTAAGGAGGATTTTGCCCAAGGTTACTCAAAGCATTATTAGTCCATCTAGAAAGTAAATGCCTTCGATCTGTCCTAATAACAAAACACATTTTTGGCTGCCGTAATCCTTGAGGCCTGTGGTCAAAACTGAATGGAAGGACATCTGGACTGACCCTAAGAGATCCTGGCATTGCTTTCCAAAAGCTGAGTCGTCAGCTCATTTTGGTCCCACCTTCCAGAAATATACAAGCCCGTTAGGTGCTTCTGGAAAGCCAGGAAGTTCCCAGGGCTACAGGCAAAAACAAAGGACAAGTGGGTGAGGGCAGTTCTGTGCCAGCTCCAGGGGTCAGAATTCATGCTTGAACAAACCATTTCTGCCTGGCTGCCCTCGATGACAAGCCCTGGGGCCACATCAGACCCAGCGGTAGCCACAGTCCTGTGTCCACCAGGGGCCAGATTCATTCAAACACTTTATGAAGACCAAAAGGACCCCCTTCCCTCCTTCCTCCAACACCCAACACAAACCATTAAGAAAAGCACAAAAGATGCGCCACCCCAGGAAAAGCAAGCTTACTGTCTGTCTTCTTCTGAAGGTGAAGTTCTTCCACAGCAGTAACCTCAACTGAGGCCAGCAAGCCATGTTACCTCAGCCGGCGTCCCCAGCAACCTGCGTGGAGGCAGTGGCAGGACCGCACAGCGGGGACACTGTGGCTGGTCATTAACTGAAAGATAAAGCGGGAGGGGAGAGTGTCGTCAGTTATCACTGCAAAGCCATACGCCAATGAGGGCCACTGCTCTAGCCACCCGACCCTCCACCACCCAGGTCTGCGTCTGCTCCCCAACCTGATAGGTCCTTGACTCCCAGCCACAGAGTTCTCCCGGAGATAGGAGTGCTGGAGGTGTGCTGGGGGCAGCCCGGGAGCTAGTCATTACGGTCTTGATCATTTTCGCACCAGTGGTGTGATCACTTGGGAAGAAAACTGCACTTACGAAACAGACTGGAGTTAAACAATCATGGGTGGCCACAGCACAGAGGATGGCAATGGCACAGTGGAATCCCAGAGTGCCACCTTTCTTCTCTAAGAAAATGCTGCCCTCAGACAGAACGTCAGCAGCATTTAAGATCTTGCTGGAGTGACTAAGGCTTGCTGGAGTGACTGAAATTCACTGAAGACGACATGTTCACCTGGCCACAGAGTTCAGTCCTTCCCACGATAAGCAGTGCCATCGCTAAAGCAGTTTTCCAATCTGGAAAGCCACAGCGTGTCTTAGCTGACTGTGATTAAACACCAAGGAAACGCTGCTGACACCTGGCTCCCAGGTAGGGAGGACAACCCTTGCGCTGTGTCTCCGTGGCAAGAAAGCAGTGTCCTTCAGAGAACAAGCCCGCCACGGCAGACTCATCACATCGTCTGGGGAACTGACAAGCTCCCACCATCAGGGCACAAGCACGCTTCCAGCCGGGCTCTCGCTGCACCTGACCCGACCGCTCTTGTCAGGTGTCATGGGGGCCTCCTTGCAGGGCTGTTTCACCAGGTTAGAGGAGGTTTCTCTGAACAGGGCATACAATGTTCTGCGTGTACCAGCTGCCTACCCACTGCTCTATTGAATGCTGGAATAACCCCAGGTGGCAGTACTCATGTTAACGCCAAGGATGAGGCAGAAAAGGAAAGGTGGAGGAAAGGAAGGACACATAGCATCAAACTAGGCCCCAGAAACCAGCTTTCCTTAAAAATACAATGTCTCAGTTAATCCTCAAGGGTGGGTAGGAGTAAGGACCAAACAGCAGAAGGTGCTAAGGATGTAGTCACTCCGTGTGGGTACAAAACTAAACACTGGACCCAAGTCTGTGCCTAAATCAAATCACAAGGCAGAGGTCAATTTCTAATAGGACAGTACCCCTCTCCCCCTCACACCACAAGGACTTGGGTTAAAAACGTCTAGAGTAGACAAGAAAATGGAGGGAAATTCCAGTGTCTGAGAGAAGCAATGACGCTACCATATGTATCTGTCACCATTCGTTGAAAAATAAGCAACATCACGAGTTCCTTTCCAACTTGCACGCTTTAGGTTCTAAGTGTTCATTACCTGCTCAGCAAAGCTCTAGCAAGAAACAGACCTCCAAAGTTTCTCACTCCCAAAGAAAAGAGAAGTGGGAAACCAAAGCATCAGATTCCACCGCATGGTTTAAAGGCGTCGACTGGGAGGCAGAATGTCATGATGAGAGGCGTGTCTCTAAGTGGCTTAGGACAGAGTTTGCTTTCCAGGAAATGGACATAAATCATTAGTTGGATTCACTCATGCAGAAGCTTCTCTCCAGGAAGGATTTGGATGATCTGGAAGCTACCTACGTCTTTCCAGATCCCCAAGGTAACATTGAGGAGGACGCTGGAACACATTTGTTACTTAAATAACAAAAAAAGTGACCTAGTAGAAAGAGCACAGAACATGAATTCGCTCCAGCTTCCCAACCATGTGCTTTTGGCCAAACTCTTACGCTCTCTGAGCCTCAATCTCCTATCTGTAAAATGGGGATGACAATCTCTACCTTGCATGGTTGTTTTAAGGACTTAATGAGATAATGAAAGTTCTCAGCACAGTAAAAAGTGCATTGTAAGTGCCAAAAAAATGGGAGCTCCCGGCCCCACTCATCTTTCTCCTTTCTGCTATAGAGAAATGGCAACTTCCTGTCCAAACACTCCTTCCTATTCCATTATTTCCAACAAATCCATTGTGGGTTTCTGGAAAGCTTGTTGTTGTTATGTGCCATCGAGTCGTACTGTAGGAAGGAATAAATCTGAATGGCCTAGTGCTGGGGTCCCTGGAGCCAAAGCAGAGCACAAAATCGACAACCCCAAACCCTGAGGGAGAAGAGTGCTCAGAAGAAAGGAAGGCATTCCTTTCCAGAACCTTCATGAACAAGGGGAAGGGAAAAGTCAGGAGTCGTTCTCTTGGACAGCATTTTTCTTCAAGTAGACTTTCCAGTTTTCCAAACACAGATTCTAGCCCCAGGGACCTTGCCAGGGACTCACAAAGAAACAGCAAGCAGCAGCCCCAAGGACCTTCCCAGAGACTCGCAAAGAAATAGTTAGCAACCCGCAGCCGCAGCCCGAGCAGCAGAAGGTTTTGCTCCACCTTTTTTTTTTTTCTGCCGGCACTCTGCCCGCCTGTTCCCTCCACCCCTTCCCTCCACTGCGCATGGCCCTGGCCTCCTGCACAATTTCCTCCCCCTTCCCAGAGACACAATAATCAATGCTAGGAGCAAGAGCAGTGTTTGGCAATGTCCAGGTCCTTCAGATAACTGAAGCCAAAGGGACATTTCCACATCAGTTTTCCAAGGAACTGAACAAATAAACCCAAACCAGAAAAAGTGGCTATGTCCTGGATTTCTCAATGTCTCCAAAGCTCGTACCACACTCACTTCTGCCCTTGTGCACACTTCCAGTCACTGGCTGGCAAGGATCCCAATTCACAGTCATTGCCAATCAATAGGCTGCTCTCATCTCACTCCTGGGTAACTGTAAGAGCCACTTCACTGGTCGCCCTGCCTCAGATCCCTCTGCCACACAGCATCCCAAGTTACTCTACAATACCAAGTGTCTGAAAATGCCACTCTCCCACTTAAAACCTCTCCTTGTTCCCATCAGCCTCAGAGCAAAGTCCAGTCCTCACAGTGGTCGACTTGGCCTCCCATATGAGCTCCCTATGGGGCTCAGCCACCTTGTTGTTTCACCACCATCTGTCTCCTAAACATTGCCCTGGGGAACCACTCACTGGCTCTGAATGAGCCACTCTCAGCCCTACTACTGAGACTTCACTGATGTATTCCCTCCTGAAACACGTTCCTAGCAGCCTCGCTAACTCCTTCTCATCCTTAGGTCTCCACTTAGCTGTCACTTCCTCAGTGCTTTGCCAGGCACTGCCCCTGTGCTGACACCCGGGCCAGGAGCCTCTCTTAGCTGCTCCCACAGTCACCTCTGTCTTCCCTTGCCCAGTTTCCCTAACATGCTGAGTCAGGGCAGGGATCATTTTTGTTACCTTCATCACTGTACGCCCTAGTATACAAAATAGTACCTGCCATGAAGCAAGCACCCAGGGGCCATGAGCTTAGTTAATGAAGAGGTGATGGCTGGAACATGAGGGACCATGTCTCAGAATTCAAGGGTAGTAGCATTCCTGGGCCTGTGGTAACCAGTTTCTCAAGCCTGATTAACTGATTCAGGCTAACTGTCTCCAGAGAGGGGGCTCAGTGTTCAGCAGGCTTCCACAACACACTCAGGAGGGCCACAAAGGACAGCTGGGCAACTTCGTAAGAATAAATGCTTCGCAGGTGACTATTGAGGCATCCAGAAAATGTAACTGAATCTAGGTCGGGTTTCCATAGGGGCCAAGGTTTAGCTAAGGGCCAAGCAGCAGCCATGAAATCTGCTTCCTGCCAATACTCAGGCTTAAGTCCTAGATGCACTCTGTCTGGGACGGATCATAAGTCATCCAGGTGGATCATCATTTGCCAAAATTTAACAGACAGTTTCCACACACCAACGTTCTTTTACCTAGTATGGACCCAGCAGATGTGACTGCTCAAATCTTTGTCCTCTTTTTTTTCTTTTTTAAAGAACTTGGCATTTCAAATGCCATAAATATTTTTATATTTTTAGCAGCTATATAACACAACAAACACAAAAGCATGATCTTCACAAACAAGGGAAGGAAAAGGCGTTTAACATCACTAGCTACCGAAAAATGCAAATTAAAGCCACCAGGAAATACCACTATACACAAACACTGCTGTTGTTAGGTAGCATTGAGTCAGCTCCAACTCCTAGCAACCTTATGTACAACAGAACAAAATACTGTCCAGACCCACCCCATCCTCACAGTCATTGCTGTGTTTGAGCCCTTCATCACAACCACTGTGTCAATCCATCTCATCGAGGGTCTCCCCCTTTTTCACTGACCCCCTACTTTACCTAGCATGATATACTTCCCCAGGGAATGGTCCCTTCTGACAACACAACCAACGTATGAGAGACAAAGTCTGGCCATTCTCACTTTTAAGGAGCATTCCAGCTGTACTTCCTCCAAGACAGATTTGTTCATTCTTCTAACAGTCCACGGTACATTCAGGAGCTCTAGTGGCACAGTGTCTAAGGCATTTGACTGCTAACCAGAAGGCTGGCGATTCAACCCACCAGCCACTACTTGGAAGGAAGACTGGGCAACCGACTTCCGCAGAGATACCGCCTCGGAAACCCAAGGAGGGGTCACTATGAGTTGCAATCAACTTAACAGCAGTGCGTGTGTGTATGGTACATTCAATATTCTTCGCCAACACCACAATTCAAATGCATTAATTCTTCAGTCTTCCTTATTCATTGTCCAGCTCTCAGATGCATATAAGGTAACTGAAAACACCACGGCTTGGATCAGGTGCTTATTAGTCTTCAAAGTGACATCTCTACTCTTTAACATGCTAAAGAGGTCTTTTGTAGCAGATTTGCCCAATGCAACATGTTGTTTGATTTCTTGACTGTCGCTTCCTTGGGCGTTGATTATGGAAGCAAATAAAATTAAAATTAAAACAACTTCAGTCTTTTTTTCATTTATCGTGATGCTGTTTAGTGGTCTAGTTGTGAGGATTTTTTTCTTTATGTTGAGTGCAATCCACACTGAAGCCTGTAGTCTTTGATCTTCAACACTAAGTACTTCAAGTCCTCATCAC